TCCCCATCAGGCAATTAATGCACTGATTAGGTTAAGACTCTGATAACCCAATCATTTCATCTTCAAACTTTCTTGCATTATCTCACTCATGAGCTTATATTAGATACTTCATTTATCTAAACCATAACAATACCCAAAATAATAAATAACACTAAATCTTTATTTCACCTTCACAGAACACTTGAATATTATACATATCTGATTGAAGTGCATAAAAATTATCACTCATTTTGGAATCATTCTCCTATCCTATATAATTTTGAAAAATGAAATGTAATCTCTCATCAATGCATTCTATTACCTAAAATGTAACCCAAAACACCAATCATATATGAAGCTTAATTTAATGCTAAGTTGAGATAGAGAAAAGGTATCATATAATCTATGAAAACTAGAACAATTTCAAAAGCAGAGAAATCCTAATCACTAAAGAAGGCTTAAAGGGCTAAATTTTAATTTGAAATCTTGATCTACAATAAATAAAAGGCAAAGTCTTCTAAATTTGCTTCAAACTAAAAAATAATTTACTTATAAATTTGACCCAGATTAGTTTCATGCAATTTGGTTAATACGTTTCTCTCATTTATCTGAGAATCATCATTAAAATGCTATTAATTTTAGATCTTTGCCCCCACAGTTTTCAATTTTATGGACTATCACCTGTAAATCAGAAATTAACTAGTGTTTACCTAATACATTGGTAAGTTTGATGTAAAATGTTATTTTCCCCCCAATTTTCTATTCTATATGAGTTAAAAAAAAATGAAACAAAAAGAACCCCAAAATCAATTAGTATAGCAATACAGGGTATTATACAAAATGGCTTTTACTGAATATAAGTCCTAATAGTATTTATTATAAACTGAAGTGGTAAAGAGTTTGAATTTTAGCCACTTAATAAAAGTAGACTAGGATTATATTGTATATATTTTTCCCAATATTTGAATGAACAAAGCAAACTAGTCAGTCCCTGAAGTGATGGTACTACTTGTGCATATGAAAAGTAGAAAATTTGTTTCCCTGGAACATGATTCTTGATGATTCCAAAATTCTTAAGCAGTATGTATGTTGGCGGAGGGGGGGCACTTATTGAAGGATTTAACAAAATATTTTATTTAGTGAATTTTCTTCCTATTTTTATGTTATAATAACTTCTTATGTGACTTATTTTGGGGAGTATAAGCACCTTTTTTTACTTTAGATAGTATGTTAATCATGTTTGTAAAGGGGAAGAACAACATGATTTTTGTGCACACCTGTATTTCCAGTAACTACAAAAGCTGAGGCAGAAGGAGCCATAGTTTGAGGCTAGCCTCAGCAACTTGGTGAGACCCTGTCTCAAAATAAAAACTGGGAAGAGCTGGGGATGTGGATCATTGGTAAAGTGCCCCTGGGTTGGTTCAACCCCCACTTCCAAAATCAAAACAAAAAACAAAACTCTGTAGCTATATGACCTATTTTTGTTTATTTTATCTAGTTTAGTGTTTTTGTCATATGAACTAGTTGCTAATATAACTATTTAATTACATAAACTGACACTTCATTCTTACAACATAAAAGCTTATCATCTTTTCTCAAGGGTTACTCAGAAATTCTCATTCTTTTATAGTATAGTAACATGAGGATTTTGAGACAAGTGCTAATTAGATTTAATTTATATACTTTTGAGTTTTACATTTTTTTCTGATGTTTTATGTTTTGATACTACTATAAATAATGCTGCTGTAAACTTGTTGATTGCCTTTGTAAGACTTGCTTTTTCTTCTAAGATGATCTGGGAAATCTCTCTTTGGCTTTGCTCTACTTAATCTCTTTAGTCTTTAACTTAAATTAGACAGCAATGAATAGAATTTTAAAAACTTCCTTTTGATAGTAGTATGAATTATATTATGTAAAAAATTATATTATGTAAAAACATAAGGAATTGCAATATTTGATCAGGCAAATAATATTAAAAATCTATATAAGATGAATAATATAAATAGACTTTATCTGATAGATATATATGTTCAATTTTACCTTATAAATGGGCAATATATATTTTACCATGTATGAGTAAACTTGTTTTAAAAAAATAATTATTTATTGGGTAGTAAAATAATAGTCAATAAAAGAGAATTTCAAGGAGTTATACATATTTTATATTATATTTCATTTAATACTCCTGGGATATATTGGGAGAAGAAAATTAAATAATATTGTAACCAATATTTAGATATAAGCTCATGACTCACACATAGAAAATAAATCTTCAATTAAGACATAATACAGCAAACCTATCAATATGTAAGTTACTAGAAAATTTATTCATAGAAAATTTCAGAGCAGCCAACATTTTCATTGGTATAAATACATAATACTGAAAGAAGGAAATATTAAGAAAAATGAATGAAATTGAAAAAAATTCAAAAGAATGAAGGAAATAAAGATAAAACCAGAAGTCATCTAATTAGAAAGCACTTTAGAACTGATAAAGTTAGTAATAAAATCGATGAAGCTTTGGAATCACTTATTAATCCAGTCAAGGAAAAGAAACCACTAATATGCAAAATTAACCAAGGGAAGAATTAAAGCTTTCCAATAGTGGAAAAGCTAAAGGAATGCAAAGAAAATGTATCCCATAAATCTTGGCATAGATATTTGGAAACGTATATGAAAATATGAAGTATAAAAATTATTAGAAAACATATCAAAGTTCAAATATTATCAAAACAGCTCTCTGTTTTTCTATGTCTGCCAATTATACCACAACTTAAAGAAATAGATTGATTTTAGAAGTGATCTCAGACACAAAACAAGAAGTAAAACTTCCTTAAAATGTCACTAAAGCATCAATAGCAAAGTCTTATAAAGATAGCACAGAGAAAGAAAACTGCAGATCAATTTTAATCTGTAAAAATTGATGTAAATAACTTAAATGAAATACTACAACTCATAATTCAAGTCATATATTAAAAGAATTACAAGCCTTAACAAAGTAAGTTCAAATCAAATTTGGTTTAATATTAAGAAACCCATCTATATAATGTGTATGTATATTATATTATTAAAATATACTACACACTATATACATTAATATAATTATATTAAATATATATGTAAATAATAGATAATTTATATATACGGCCAGTGCCAAGGTTAGTGGCATCACCATAGACATCAGGTTTTTAAAATCTGTGGCCTTGGGAAAATAAGAAAACAAAATAGAAAAAGGAAGGCAAGTAAAAAGAAAGAGGAAAGTGAAGGAGAAGGAGGAAGAGGAGGAGGAGAGAGAAGTCAAATTAAAATCCTGAATTGTATATCTCTGTGCACAATCTGAGCCCTTGATTATATTGTAAAAGAAAAGACATAAGTGAATCCATTACTGATGATATGATGAGATGGGAATATCCAGGAGAAAAGCTTTAAAAAATTTAATAAAGTGTTTCAACAAGATAAAAATCTCCAAAAACAAATTCAAAATTTAAAAGCTTAGTAACCTAATGGAAAAATAAGTCTTTCAATTGTAACCAAAAGTACATATAAAAAAAAACATATATAAGATCTTAGAGAAAAATGATAACATAGGATAAACTGAAGAAAGTACAAATGTCCAATTAAATAGGAAAATGTATTTGAGTTTTGGATAAAATACAAAATATTATGTAAACATAATTATATAAAAATATTTACTATTTTGTCTTGTTACTGAAGATAGCAATTAGTATTCTGTTAAATGCTTATGCTCTCTACAGTACTATAACTGTCAAATAT